CAAAGCAACTCTTAACAAATTTAAGAAGATTTAAATCATACAAGGTGTCCTTTCTGAACACGTTTTGGAATGAAACTAGAAAGGAATAGCAGAAGGATAAGTAAAAAATCCACAGCTATGTGGAAATTAACAACATACTTTTGATCAACAATGAATCAAAGAAAAGAATCAAAAAGGGAATTTAAAATAGCTTGAGACAAATGAAACAGAAAACACAACATACCAAAATTTATCAGATCCAGTGAAAGCAGAGGAAAGAGGTAAATGTATAGCTACAAACAAATACATCAAAAAGACCTCAAATTAATAAACTAATTTCACATCTCAAAGAACTAAAAGAAGAACAAAGAAAGCTCAAAGTAGCAAAAAGAACATAACAAAGAATAGACCAGGAATAAAATGATAATAAGTGGAAAAACAATAGAAAATATCATAAAACTAAGAGTTGGTATTTTAAAATGATAAATAAAATTGACAAACCTCTATCTAGATTAAGAAAAAAAGAGAAGTTTCAAAAATAAAATCAGAAAAATGAAAGCTCATGCCACAAAAATAAGAAGGTTCAAAAGAAAATAATATGAACATTATATGCCAACAACCAGATACCATAGAGGATGGATAAATTCTTAGCGACATGAAACCTAAGAAGAGTGACTCGTGAAAAAATAGAAAATCCGAACCGACGTATAACTAGTATGGAGACATGAATCGGTAATCACAAACCTCCTAACAGGGAGAAGCCCAATACCAAATGGCTTCCCTGGGGAATTCTATAGAACATGTAAGTAAGAACTAACACAAGCCTTCTCAAATGCTTCCAAAAAGTAAAAGAGGGGGGAACACTTTCAAAGTCATTTTATGCAGCCAGCATTACTCTGATACAAAAGCCACATGGAAAGAACAGTAAGAGCTAACATCCCTCATGAATACAGATGGAAAAGTGTTCAACAAAATACTAGTAAACCAAATCCAGTGTAATCTAGCACCTTAAAATGGTCATACACCATGACCAAGTTAAATTATTCTTGCAATGCAAGAATGGTTCAACATTCAAAAATCAATGTGATAAAACACATTAACAGGACAAAGAGTCAAAATCACAGGATCATCTCAACATATGCAGAGAAAGAATCTGTCAAATTTCAGCATCTATCAAAAGAAAAACTCTCAGCAAACTAGGAATAGAATGAAATCAGCACAACCTAATAAAAGCCATATATGAGAAGCCCACAGCTAACAACATATTCAACAGTGAAACCTGAAAACTATTCCTCTAAGATCAGGAACAAGGCAAGGACGCCCACCTCACCAATTCAATTCAATCTAGGATGGGAAGTTATACCTAGAGCAAGTAGACAAGGAGAGAGAAAAAAATAAAAAGGCATCCAAATTGGAAAGAAAGAAGTAAAAATATCTTTGTTTGCAGATGACATGATCTCATAGATAGCAAAACCTAAAGACTCCACAAAAACCCTCAAAGTTTTAGATCTAATGACAAGCTCCATAATATTACAGAATATATAATCAACATTCAATAATGAGTCGCATTTCTCTACTTACAGAGAACTATTTGTAAGGAAAGGGAAATTAAGAAAACAAATCCATTTACAAGATCACACACACACAAAATACCTACAAACAAATTTAACCAAGGAGGTGGGAACCTTGTACTCTGAAAACTACAACGTATTGGTGAAAGAAATTAGATAAGACACAAACAAAGAAGACATCCAAGTGGTCAACAGGGAGATCACTAGTTACCAGAAAAATGCAAAGTAACACCAAAATGTTATTTTTGTGAGATATCACCTCACGACTGTTAGGATGGCTATTATCGTGTGAACAAATGACAAAGAGTGCTGTCGAGGGTGTGGGAAGCTGGAACTGATGTACTCTGTCACTGGGTAGAGCATATGAAACGGCTGCTATAGAATACAGTAAAAATGAAAAACAGAACTCCCTGTGATCCAGCAATGTCACTTCTGGGCAGTTACCTCAAAGAACTGACACAGGAGCTGCAGGAGATATTGGCACTGCTATGCTTACTGCAGCACTATCCACAATAGCCAAGATGTGAATAAACCCTAAGTGGCCACATCCACAGAAGAGTGGATAAGAAAATGTGGTGTATATGTATTCTATGGAATACTAGGTAGCCTTAAAAAAGAAGTAAGTTATGCAATACGTGACAACATGATTCACCTTGAGGACATTATGATAAGTGAAACAGACCCATCACAGAAAGACAAATACCGCATGACTCCATTTCTATGAAGTATTTAAACGTCAAATGCATACCACCCAAAAGTGGAATGGTGTTTGCCAGGGGCTTGGCCAGGGGGAAATGAGGAGGTACTATTTAATGGGCATAAAGTTTCAGTTAAGCAAGATGAATAATAAGCTCCAGGACCTTCTGTAAAACATACTGATGTCAACAGTAATGTAATTTATGCTTAAAATTTGTTAAGAGAGTAGAACTCATATTAAATATTTTTACCACCTTAAATTAAAAAAATTATATATATATATATACATAAATTCAGAAAACAGTCAACAGAAATCCTCACAAAATTGATGGACATAAACATTTAGATTCTGGAAACTGATCAAACCGAAAACAGAATGGGTCCAAAGTCACTTGCAACAAGAAAGATCATGACTAAACTGAAAACAATAAAAATATCTTCAAAGAAACCAGACAGTAATGTCATATAACCTATAGAAGAACACCAGTTTGAATGACAGTACATTTCTCATCTGAAAGTCATGAAGTCTCAAAGGAAATACAAGAGCAATTCTCAAATGTTGACAAGAACATTACTTTCCAACATAAATTCTACATCTGGCAAATTTATCCTTTAAAAATTAAGGAAAAAGAGACTTTCTCCGACAGAGGAAAACTAACAGATTTAGTCTACAGCACACATACTCTAAGATAATGGCAAAAAGAAACTCCAAGAAACAAAGGTAATACATCACAAAAAGGCTTAGGTAGTCTTAAGGAACTGGGACAAACAGAAGGGTTTAAAATACGGGTAAATATAATGAACTATCCCTTCCCTCACGCAGTCCAGTAAAAATAAAATACTCATACGTTTTAAGTGGTTTCTTAATTACATGCGTTTCTGAAACACTGCCGTCATTGGTGTTTGTCCTAGTTTTCTGTGGCACTGTAATTTGTATAAGTGATGTTTCAGTGTCTGCAGTAAGGAAAACAGGTGTGAGCGTTCCCCAGCGCACGGCAGCATCCTTATCCTTCTCTTATTTGTCCTCTCCTATCACATCACTCGTGGATCTTCCAAGCCCGAGCGCACGCACGCGCACACACACATGCACACAGACATACACACACACAATCACACTGCGCAGGGTTCCAGGAAGAGGCTCCTCTAGAAGTGGGAGTGTTACTACCCCACCACCGTCCAGAGACCCTCGGGGTTGGCTGACCTCAGCCCTGGGTAGGTGAAGAAGGGCTGCTCCCAGGACCCCATCCAGGTTCCCTCCTCCCCCCACCTCCCTGGAAGACAGGCGCCCCCTCCTGCGGTGCAGGGTCCCGGAGTGAGGGACAACTATCTCAGTCCTGCTCAGAGCCCTCCGACCAGCGGGCCCGCCAGGGGCCTGAAACTGGGCGGGCTCGGACCCGACCCCGGACTCTCCCCAGCCTGGCCTGGGCTTCTGCAGCAAGGAGGGCGACGTCCCCCGCGCCAAGGGACTCTGTGACGACGGGCCACCCTCCTATCCAGCAGGGTCCTCACTTACGATGGCCCGCGGAGGTTAGCCGGCCCAGCTCTGAGAGGAGCAGCAAGAGAGGCAGCATTGCGTGGCCGGCCGGCCTCGCCACCGCGATGGTGGTTGACTGGAATCCGTGCAGCGAGCGCGCGGGGCCCTGCGCTCTAGGTCCCGTCGGGGAGAGGCGGGAGCGGAGGGGCGGGGAGGGAGGGCACAGAGGGCGGAGGGGAGGGGCTGGGAGGGAGGGCAGAGCAGAGGGGAGGGGCGGGGCTGGGAGAGAGGG